GTCACGTCAACAGACACTAAGCGGTGGGAGACAAAGGCTACGCCGTTTTCCAGCAAGGGGTCAGACTTTGATTTTTGGCCAAATGGGAAAGGAGTCAAATGCGGATTGTTAGCAGGTCAACCCGCCTTGGAAAACTCCTCTGTTAACCTGCAAATTTCAGTGGGAAACCAGCTTTAGACTCACTTCAAGTCATAGGGAAGTTATATTTATATGTCAAATTATTCTGGCTTAAACATGTATATTAATGTACTCTTTATCAGACTATATTGTCGCAAAAGTTAGAATATATCTATTTAAAAAAAAATCCTGTCTTAAAATTCGTTATCTTATGCAGGTATGTTAGTTATATGTTGGCCTAAATTCGGCCAATCATCTGTCAATCAAATTTTTTTCGGTCACAGCATCTTAATACATATGTCAATTAATATGCATAGCGTTCCTTGACAGTGTCGTTTCTAAGTCACCAATTTAGTGCTACTTGGTCCCAATGGAATTTCCCATTGGGAACCTACTAGCACTAAGTTGCTAACTGGTTAGCAAGATGTTTCAGACAAACTGGCCACAACCAAACTGGCTTGCAAACCTTCCGCCACAACAACCCAGCGCCCTTGATAAATGACCAATCACATTCACTTTGTTCACTCGTGTAAAGTCGTGCGAATCCGGGAGAATTCAGAAATGCAACGGTTGAAACAGTCGCTTCCCTACAACTTTAGGACTTTTTCACAAAGCTCCTTCTGATTATTAATAAATGATGATGTAGCTGGAAAACAGAAGGTAATAATGTCAGCATTACAGGAAAAGTCAAAGCGTCTAACCTCATGCTAAGAAGAAGCTTTGAAAGTGAATATTCCATCTATCTGCTGCTGTGTATGTTTCTATAACATTCTGTTCTGTCTCATTTCAGAGAAGTTGACGGTTTACCCTGGACAAGATGTAACTCTGCGATGTGACGCTCCTGCCAACATCAGTATTGCAGCCGTGAAGTGGACCAGAAAGGATCTAGGAAACCAACACGTCCTCCTATACAAGGGTTCGTTGGTTAAAGAAGGCCAGCATCCCTCTTTTAAAGACAGAGTGACCTTGCAGAAAGGACGGCTAGAGGATGGTGAAGTGTCTTTGATTCTGCAGAATGTGAAAGAAAATGTCAATGGAACATATGAATGTGCGGTGGAGCAGAAGAATCCGTCCAAGTGGTACTTAGCCATCTGCATTTTTGAAGTGGATGTGGGTTCAGGAGGTGAGTCTGTCTGTGTCAGAGCTTCTAATTGGTTCCTTGGTTAGACTGAACAGCCTCTGACCAGGAAGTGTTCGGCCTG